GGGGGCTCTGTGCTTGCTGAGCCTGAGACCAGGTTGGCATCATCTCTCCTCACGGACTGCTCAGGCAGAGAGTTTTTCTTCTTGGCTGCGTCTTCCTCTTCAGACTGTTTGAACAGAATTGTGTGAATTCAGCTGTTAAAATAGCTCAATAACTGAGGGCAAAGTTAATGACTACCTAATAACTAAGTTAATGAATTAAACAGGAAGGCCAGAACAGTCTGGTTTGGGTGGTTTGGGCTTTTTTTCAGTCCTTCCCCAGGGGTGTGCTCCGGGCCTTCACTGAAGAGAAGGTGGGTAGGGTGGACCTTCACCCTCTCACAGAATTTATCTTCTAACATTGTGGCATTTTTATGTTCTAGAACGACTGAAAACACTGAAAACAACTGAAAAGTGTGTCAAATCCTCCTGCCTCACAGGCATATGACATAAGGCAGCTATACACCAAGGAAGGGAGCAGAAGCTTGCTTAGCATCTTCCCGCAGTCACGCTACTGCAATTCCACAAGGCCTGGAATTTCCAAGAGACCAGACCACATGTCTGTTAAATTACATAGGAAAACATACAGCTAATCATTTCCTTGTCTTCCTCACCCACAAAGTCGCCTTGTACAAAACCAAACCCTAAGTAAGATTCCAGCCACATCCACGCTGAGATACACCCAGGCGTGCAGACGCCATTCAAACGAACCCCTGCGAACCCATAACGGGGCAGTACTCGCCGTGTTGGGACTAGAACTGAAACAGCTCTCTGTCTGCTTGGGAGAGTAACTGGGAGACTGGCTGCTGAGTGATGACTCTGCGTCTGAAAAATGAGAAGGAAGATTGCTCACCAAAAATTCCCCAAACATCCAACTCTCCAGTACAGCAGATGGAATCACACATTGCTACTTATGCAGTTTTAAGGTGCTGTTTAATGCATAAAGTGTTAGCAAGGTAAATCTAGGTCTTGGCAATTGCCAGTTCTTCTCTCAGGGCAACAGATGTGACAGGACGCACGAGACAGGTTCCCCAAAGCTTCAGCTGTGCCTGTGCCCGCAGCAGAACTGCGCTACCCAAAAGCAAGGTCAGGTTAATACAGCTGAGAGCAACCTGCTCTAGTTAAAGATGTCACTGCTTGTTGCACAGGGGGTGGTTGGACTAAATGACCTTTAAAAGTACCTTCCAATCCAAACCATTCTGTCATTCTGTGAAAAGGAGGAAGGAGTCTGCAGAGCAGGAGTCTGCAGAGCACCCCCAGCACGTGCTGGCTGCCACACAAGCTGCATGGGCTTACGGCCGTGTTGTTCGGGTGGAGGCCTTTGGGAGCTCTTCTGCTCTGAAATGCAGCCAGCACCGCTGACGCCTGCAGCTACTGAGGGAGCAAAAGGGAAGTGGGAGCTCCCTGCTGACTCCCCTCACCCTGTGCACAGTGAAACGACAGCGTGTAGTCTCGTGGAAGAGAATGAGGACTAGTAGAGACAAGACGAGTAAAATGGCAGATGTCAAACATCTAATGAAGATACTAATTAATAGAGAAAACATATCCAAGATTTTTCCAACCAACAGAGGGCTGCAGGAATAGAAAGAAAGAAAATGACTGGCATTTACTGGGCGTTTTACTACATGGTGATGTTGGTAAACTTGAGTTGTGGTGTTCAGATTAATACCCTGGGCCTCTCTCGTGGATTTTTATTTTCAGTTTAGGGGACAACTTTGGAGGAAATGGGACAGTGAAAAGTAAGTGTGTAATGCTCACCAGAGAGAAGTTAACCTGGATTTGTCTCTTCAAGGAGAAGCAAATAGAGATAGTTATTAGATACCTGGCAATGCCAGTCTTTATACAGTGCTGCGTGAATCAAAAATACAACTCTTATCAAACCTAACATTCTAAAAAGATCAAATCACTTCTCCCTGTCTTTAAAAGTAACAGTTTCAGTTTCACATGTAGAGAAAAATCTGATTTTTTACTTAATAATTTAAAAATGGTACTAACCCTTCTCCATCTTGTGAAGATCTGAACTCATTCCAGACTTATACTCTCTCTCTTGTGCTGGTGTGAACTTTTAAAAAACAAGTCAGTGTTAACAGCGAGGGTTCAGCTGGATCAGCACCTCAGGTTGAGTGAGGAACATTCAGTTTCTGTATTACACCAAGGAGCCATTGCACTGTACCAGGAATTATAAGGTAGAAAACCCCTGAGCAATAGTGATGTATCTAGGTGACTTCTATGGGCAAAATACATGAAAGATTCTCTGCATGCATATTGGCATCAAGTTCCTTTCTAGCACTGAAGCGTCCTGCACATAATGTCTGGGCACTGCCTGCAGCATCTGATCCTGAGGGTTAATGGGTAACTTCATCAGCTCAGGCGAGAATCGAACCATGTAAATCGTGGACCAGAAAGAGCTGTCTCTCTGAGCCGCTTTTACCCAGAAACTGTTCTTTTTGGCTGCCCTACATAAACCAGGAGGGAAAAGAAGCTTCCACAGAAGTTAAAGAAGCTACATTCAGTATGATATGGTTAGGAACATTCCTTCTCCACCTCAAGTGAATGGTGCAAACAGTAGGTTTCACAAAAAATATGTCTCTTGAAGAAGTTACCTCTTCAAATCCGAAGAGCTGGTTCTGTCTCCAGACTGATAGTTTCACAGACTTGTCCTCACTGAGGGATGAAAACACAGAGTTCTCAGGTAAGTGACTTCCCCTCCTGTACTTTCATTTTCATACTGAATTAAAGTCACTACTGCTGAGTTTTTTGACTTCAATTTTATCTTTAATAATCATAAAATGCTTCTCACTTTTGTGACCATTGAACTTACTGCTGAACACAAGAACTTGTTTTTCACAAACTTCACTTCTGTTGCAATGCAAAACGTAACACAGGAGAGGTCAGAAGATAGTGCTGCTTTGTAAAACGGAAGGTGTTATGGGTCAGTCTGTGGTAAAACCTCTTTTGTAAGATGTGGGGCACTCACAGACGCTAACTGTAGCCCAAGGGAAGGCACTAACTTCCTCTGTAGTCAAGTGGAAGAAGACAGGGTCTTTTAGAGGGCAAGTCAGAGCAACAGCTGAACTTCAGGGACTCAAAGTTGTCCCATCAATCAGTCTTTCTCTGTATTTATTAAAGGCAGATGAACAATGCTATAAAGGGCTTAGTTGCACATAAGTCTATTCACAATATTCACTACTATTTTCACTGGGAAAACTTGGGGCCTCGGTAACACCATTTAGCATTTTGCCTTTATGTCCTCTTTTAGCAGGATTTCTCCAGTTCAGCATGGTCTCTGCAGTTATCACTGGTTAATAGACTGATTTCTATGGCACTCACCTTTTTCTTCTTGAATTGTTCTGCACATTCTCCTTTAAATTAATCTGCTGATCAGGGTGATAAGCAAATGTCTCTAAAATGAAAAAAGTCAACCTTGATTTTAAAATGCAATAGCATAAATGCAATTTGAAAACAAATGCTTCTATCAACATTTTAAAGTAATTTAAATAATTGTCTTTAAAATTAAATTCATGCATTCTGAAGAATCATGATGTTTTTGGTCAAGGTTATAAAAACATACGTCCTTAAAAGAAGAAAAAACCCCAGAATATATGCCCTTAAAATATTGACACGCACCAATTTTTTCAAGGTTTGCAGGTTTCTCTTTCTTTTCAGAGAGGATGGAGTAGTGCTGTCCCTCATAACAGTCCTGCAGGTGGCTTTTATGAAGTCCACTGGTTTTCTTGTAGCTTGCACTTGGGGCACTGTTAAACAGAACCTCCTCTGGAGCTGTGAAAATGCCTTCAAGGTGTCTGCCTGCAGAACATCTTTTTGCCTCTCTAGTATCATAAGGATCATAAGGATAATTGCTGTTGGCCATTTGATTTTTATCATCAGGATCAACAAAAAAAAAGGCAGTACTGCTTTGGTTAGCAAAAGGATTTAAATAATCCTTTGTGGAAGGATTATTATGGATAGGTTGTCTCTCATCTTCAAACAGTGCCAGAAAAGAACAATCACTTCCATCTTGGGGAGATTCCAGTTGTGCAGTTTCTTTCACAACATCAAACAATGCTTCTTTAATTCCTTCACTGTTTTCTGATTCGTTACAGGTCATTATCATTAGATTTCTCCTGGCAGAATTCATACAGTCTTGCCTGGGGGTGAGGGGTGAGGTGGAGGGTAGAAAAGAAAAAATAGTTTGCTCAGTACATAAATAAGCAAAATACTAACTGCTAACACAACAGATTATGATCACTTGATGATAAAAATCTCAAAGACTTTACTGCTCATTGCACTTGCTATTGTCCCAAATGTACACTATTTTCACTGCAAAAGCGTCCTGTATTTTATTTACACTCTATAATAAGGTTGATTTAAAAGGGGTTCTGTTTCACGATGTCTCCAAAAATGCCAAGACACGGAGCACATCCTCCTGAGCTGGGAACTGTGATTTATAAAATCAGCCACAGTATGTCACTGCTGCTCCACCAGCTGACCAGAGCGGCCACCGCATTAAAAAAAAAAAAAAAAAAAAAAAAAAAAAAAAAAAAAAAAAAAAAAGAAAAAAAAGGAAAAAAAGGAAAAAAAATAGGAAGACTGCTTCTTCCGTTCATAAAAACAGTTTGTCCTTCCAGACTACAGTTCTCTCCTGTACTGAAAGCCCATAATAAACTCTGTGTAGTGCTTATTTCCTGGTCTCTTTAGGAAGGGACTTCCCTTTGTACCTGAAATCAGCAAACCTAATTCAGCACAGAATTTTTCTATTCCACTGCCAGGAGGCCAGCCAGACATGTTGTTCTGCCCATACTCCCCTACCCCACCTCCGATAGTGGTGATGTTGAAGATGCTATCATCTAGCCTCCTTAGCACGAAAGTTATCGTGCTGCCACGTACTTGGCTCTTAATCTAACAGCTTTGCTGCTTTCTTCTAGGTTTGACCTGCTGACTGACCTTTCAGAAAATCTGAGCAAAAGGTTGAGAAGCTTCTGAAGCTCAGAGCACTGGCAAAGCAAGCCATTCAAAAAATGCCCTTTCTTTTAAAAAAATTGGAGCAATGCTAACAATGGAACTTGAAACCTGTAATGTAGTACAGGAAACTCTTACTAGAGAAAAATTCTGCAGTTTTGATCAGCAAATACTTGAAACTGGATAAAGAACCTGGAGAACTTAAATGAGAAAGCAGTGTCCTCTGCTTATGCACTGCCCCAGAAAACAGTGTTAAAAGGCTAAACACACTGGAGTTTGTTTCTGGAGAAACTTGGACGGACCTATGTGAGGAAGGTAAAATTTTGTGAAGCAATTCAGAGGCTGCTTTTTCACTCCAGCTGAACGTTTTGCGATGTTAAGTAAAAGTTAATAGTAGGTGAGGAAATAGCTAGGCACTATTCAGAGTGAAAGACATCTGCTATTTTTACAAGACACCTAAAAAAATTAGTTAATATTTAATGATCTTGAGGTGCCCCAGCTCTCAGATGTATACACATTGATTACATCATCAGTGTGTTACATGAAATGACTGTATAAGTTTATATTCTACTTTTCACACACAGCAAAAGAAACTCCCTTCCCAGGAGAACTGCCAGCTCTTGAGGTGTAGGAAATTGTGGCTCTAACGGATGCAAACAAAACAAGGATGGTACAAAGAAATGGATTTGAAGAACAGTTGCAAAGGAGACGTAGATAGTGAGCCACGAATGGGCAGAGGACTAAGGGAGGTGCCATAAGCAGACCCTGAAGTCCAGTGGAGAAATGAATGTGGAAATGTAGGCAAGATATGGTCACATATGGCTTTAATGTGAAGATACTCATTGGGGAATCACCAAGATATTCAGCAAGGTGAATGTTATCTTCATGTTAGGTTTGCATGAGAAAGCCAGGAGAAGCAAGGAAGAGAAAGTTCAGGTGGCTAAGACTGGAAGCTGATGTGTTTATCTAGTTATCATGTGGTCAGTGAGCTTATCAGTCACTTGACTCACCAGGCAAACAGGCGGCAGGTACTTCAGGAACAGCAAAATAATGTATGGCCTTTTTATGGCTCTTTCCAGCCAAAGCTAGAGACTGACAGGAACTTTCTACCAGACAGCAGACTTACAGAATGAAAAGAGTAAAGGAAGATTAGCCCTGTAAGACCCCTAGATCCAAGGCAAGAACCTCTGGAAATAAAGTGAAATAAGATGTTCACTATAAATGAGTCTGACTCTAAATCGTCTATGATTAAAATATTTTAATCAGTACATAAAAAAAGAAATATATTCTAGATTTCTGTCCATTCTTTTTCTTTTTTTTAAAAAGTGTATATTCTCATAGAAGTATTACTGAACCAATTCTAAAAATAAAGCTATAGTAGGATGACATATGAAAGAGAAGGGGAAAAAAAGCTTTGCTCCTGAAAACCCAAATGTAAACAATGTAGGTGGAGGAGTTGCTACAGCGCCAATGTCACCACAAAAGGACTTGTTAACAGTGACCAGAACTAATGAGCCCCAGGGCAGCTACCCTCCATGTGGCCTCTTAATAAATCCGTGCTTTTCACTCCAGGTGAATTCAGTAGCACCATCGTATTTGTGATGTTGCAAAAAATAGATCATGGTTCCAAGGCCTACCTAAAATTCACATTTTGCTGCCTTTCAGCAAATTTAAATAGCTCAGTATGTTAAGTCTTTCCATTTAATTTCAATTTCTATTTGAAAAGCACCAAAAATCAGTGAAAAATCAAGTAGCAGTAAGTTTCAGATTATCTTAGCATTTTTCTTACTTCAACTTGACTGCTATTTCTCTCTTTAATATAAAATCAGTGCCTACCTATGCAGTGGCTTAAACAGTTCCTGAGGCAGTGTATCAGACTTCCTGAAAACATACTGGCTTGGAGGTTTTGTAATCCAAGGGTCTTGATCAGAACTAGTTCCTGGCTGAGAAGACAATAGAAGCTGTCAAACTCGGAATATATGTAATAGTTGTAGTGTTTTAAACTTTAAAGTTGGGTTTGCAAACAATATACATGTTTCCCACTATTTTTACTTCTTTTTATCTTTACAGAAGAAGCCAAAACCTCCTTACAGCCCAGCAGAGTTCTGTATAACTCATACTTTTCCCTTTTTGTGCAGCACTGTCAATGTCCAAAATGTCCTTTTAGCAGTATTTTTTTCCTGTGCCTCCGGCTCTGTCCTGTCTGTAACTCCGTTTAGGCAGTGGAAGACAGCAGTTATTTCACCCCACACCCTCACAGCCTTCTCTTTCCTGGGCTATGAAAGCCCTCTTTTCTCAGTCTCTCCACAGGCTCCAATCCCCTAACAATTTTTGTGGCCCTTCACTGGTCTTGCTACAGTTTGTTGATCTCTCCCCTATACTGGGGGTCCCAAAACTGGACAGTTTTTCAGATGTGTTCTCACACAGGCTGCTCAGAGGGAAATCGTCGCTGGCCTTTGACTCCAGGGTACGCTCTATCTAAGACAGCCCACTATGTAGTTGGCCTTCGCTGTGTGGGGTTATTTCTCCCGAGGTGCAGGGCTTCGTATTGCTCTGTGTTAAACCCTGTGAAGTTCCCGGTGGCCTTCTGCTTGTCAAGACCCCTCTGGGTAGCAGCCCTGCTACTGTAAAGATCACTCTGCTGATCCGGTGTCCATGCGTCATGAACGTGCTGAGTGTGCACTCCATCCCATTGCCCAACTCTCTGATGAAGCTGCACTGGACTTTGTATTGATCTCTGGGGTTGCCTGACATTACTGACCTGTTGCCAATTAGACTTTAGCCCACAGGCAACTACTTTGAACACAGTGGTAACAGCCAGTTTTTTACCCATCTTATTGTCCACTCATTTGTTTCATACATCCCCTCTTTGGCTGAGAGGACCACATTGGAAACCTCATCAAAATCCCTCCTAAAGTCAAGGTAAATAATGTCTGCTGCTCTCCCTTATTCATAAGAGCAAGTCATTTCATTACAGAAGGCAATCAGGTTCATCGGGCACAGTATGCTCTTGGAAAATCCATGCTGGCTGTTCCCAGTCACCTTCTTGTTCTTCATGTACCTTGAAATTGACCCTGGCAGGTCTGGTTCCATAATCCTTTCAGGGACAGAGGCAAGATGATACTTCCCCAGATCGCGCTTACGTTTTTGCAGATGGGCATAACATCTGTGTGTTTCTTGTCACTGAGAAGCCTCCCTGATCACCACAGCCTTACAAAGATGCTAGACATCTTCTCTGCAGTGGTGTCATCCAACTCCCTCAATACACTTGGATGCACCCTGTCCAGTCCCCATGCATCTGTTTATGTCCAGCTTACTAAAGATTCCCTTAGTTGTTCCTTCACTACTGTTTTGTATCACTCTCCCCTAAACTCTGTATTGAGCTTGAAGATGTGCCAGAGAGCAGACCTTGCTAGAAAAGCCTGAAGCAAAGTAGGCCTTGAGTGTGCCTCACTGTCCTTTGTCACTAGGTTGACCCTATTTAGCAGAGGACAGCATTTTCCTTGGTTTCCTTAGGCGGATGACATACCTGTAGAAGTCCTCCTTGCTGCCCTTCTCACCCCTGGTGAGCTTCAGCTCTGGCCATCCCCATGCCACCCGTCCAAGCTCAGAGGATGCTTCTGCATTCTTCCTGAGTGGCCCACCCCTCCTTCCACACTTCCTTTTTGCATTTAAGCTCAGTCAGGAGATCCCTGATTCAGCCAAACTGCCCTCCAGACCTACTCATTCTCTTCCACACTGAGGAGCGCTGTCCTTGTGTTTTGAAAACATCTTGCTTGGGCTCATTTGTCCTTCAGCTCCCTGTGGGTTTTGGCCTATCCGTTCCCTGAACAACCCAAGATCTCCCCTTCTGAAGGCCCGAAGTTCTCCTTCCTCACCTCAAGATTTCAAAATACCACTGGAGATACATGTAGAATTTGTTTTATGATTTTCAATAAATAATATATTATCTAAAAATAAAGCATATTATGAGAGGCCCCTTATATTTGCTATTATTTTTCTGAGGATGATTCTTTTAAGAATCCCAAAGCTAACAAAAATAAAAAATCAGTAACTTGCCTCAGAACAAATAACTTTCAATCATTTCTTAACCTTAGCTTGAGTTAAACAGCAGGCTGTTCTCTCTCCTTTTAAGAGCACTGAGAATACTGTAAGAACTGTTACTCACTGAGACACTGCATGATTATGAATTAGGTCATGGAGATCACCTGGGATCACACAATACCCAGTTATACTGATTGTACATTTAAGAAAGCTGTATTTATAACTAATACATTTCAGCTTTCTTTAACCACCTTTACAAGCCAGAAACAGCAGAAAGCCAGCACTATGTGGCTAACTCTTTCTGCAGGTTATCAGTGGTACTGAGAGCTCAGTGAACAAAAGCTTGTTAAGCCTATTTCATAACATTAAAAGAAATATATCTGTATATATGGAATATTCATTGCCACCAGCCTACAAGAAATGCTGATCATTCATAATTATCTTCACCATTACACTAATTCTACACTCCAAATAAAGGAGTTTAAAATAATTCTACGGACATGAGAAATATCAAACCTGGTTTCGCAGCTTCTCCTCATAGGTTTGCTCCCAAGTGTTGTCCATTAGGTTTGGGTTGAAATTTTTTTCGGACAACTGTGTAGAGTTAGAGGACCAGAAAACAGAATAGGACAATGGGGAGGCACTAAAAGCTCTTGCTACATTGCCTTCCTGTTCCATCCTAGAGCCAGCATATGTTAATTCTGTTACTTGTGATAACTAGACAAAACATAACAGAGACATTTTATTTATCTAAAACTGTTTTGATGTAAGCGTGGAGTTCAAAGTAATCAAACCTTTCTATATCTTTTACATCTCTGCACGTATACCACATGCAAGAGACAATTTTCATGTATTCTGTTATGATTCTTTAGTAAAAACCTAAAGTAATAAGAGTTTATCTCAGGGAAACAAGTAAGACCTTACTTAAGCTGAAGCATGAACACAAATGTTATCCTGAGGAGAGATGGATGTTAATAGATTTTTAGCTTTAGATGTGTAGGTAAATGATCTGCTGAGTTGGTTCTTAAGTAGTAAAATGAAAAACATTTTACTCTGTTGAGGAAAGAACTCCAGCATGTTGGGAGACCAACAATGCTACCTCGAGGAGATCACAACAGAAGGAGAAATCTGAAGGCAAAACTTGTGAAATACCACTGTATCCACACCGACATGGGAGCAATGCCTGTGATCCAGCTCATCCAGTGAAAGCAGCACAAACTACCAATGGAGTGCCAAAGCATTAATTACACAAAAATCTTTGTACCATAAAACTGTAAGTTTCCAAAGAGCTGAAAATTGTGGGGTTTATAGCCCCTCTTTCTGCTTAATAAAGTGGCTATTTCTTAATTACTTAAATTGGCTATAATTCAACTTATGAAGAGTTTAAAAACAGTTCTTTGCAACATATAGGCCTTAGACTTTACTTTTTCATCCATACATTAAATTAGCTTTCTGTTTGTGCACATTGAATCATCGTGTGTTTTCAAGAACTGATGCAAATCTGTCCATACAAGTGGAGGTTGAGGAGAAACTTAGCTATCATTTTCATTGTTGTTTCTGGGCACATTAAATCTAAAATATGCCCTCTCTGTCTTCAAGAAACAGATGAAAGAGAGTCATAAGGGAAGTCTGACTTCATGTGATAACCAAAAAAGTAGTGGCAGCTCATGGTGATCTTGCCTGAAACGCATTAGGCAGCTAAACTTTTCACCCATACTAAGTAATACTTCTTGACTCAAAAGAAAGGAAATTCTAACACTAGAAACACATCTGTCTTTCTCACTCTAGCAAAACAGGCAACATGAAGGGGCCAAGAACATACAGAATAACACAGTGAAAGAATCTTTTCCTCAGAGTCTGTTCTGATACAAATAGCAGAAGTCAGTGGCGCTGTATTATCAAGCAAGTCTGAGTAACCTAAACTGTGTCTTCTAATAGACTTACTAACTTGGGGTTTTTTTTGTTGGTTGTTTTTTTACGCAGCAGTGGGGTGGGTCATGAAAAAAGGCCTAAATTCCATCCAGAGAATGTTTTTCACTGTAACTAACCTCAGTGAGTGTATGAATTTCCCAATTGTAGCCACTGAGATTTGTATTAGGTTCCTCTTAAAGACTCACCTCTGCCTATGCTTCTCATATTTCATCATTTCACATTTCTGCATATTGTTTTTAATTTACCTGCTGTTGGCCTCAGTCTCCCATAATCTCTATACTTTGTGACTAGCTTGGAATGCAGATATTCCTAAGTATTTTGAAAAATGCCTGAAACAAGGTAAGCCTTTCAAGAAATACATAAGAAATAGCAGAAACAAATATGAAATATGACTGGCAAATAACAGGCTAGTATAGCCTTAAAGAGGAAGGCTTCACACATTTCAGTATCCATGAGATTTTGTTACACTTTGAAAAATCACTTATAAATACAGCCATCGCTGCATATTTTTAGCTTTACATCAGTGAGAATAAACTTACTTACATTATGCTGGTATTTTACTTTCTCTGAGAGATGCTGCCTTCTGCTGTCCAATACTTGCTTTTGTAACCTTGCAAAATGAATAAAAACAGCCTTTGAAATACAGGATACAAGATCTATATGATTAAAAACATTCTGAGTATTAATTTCAAAATAATTTAAGAATATTTTTTCACACATCCTAAAAAGGCCTGAATCTTAAGCAGTTCTGAGCAGCCAGTGTGGGCGTTTGTCACTGCAGGGTGTCTGAAGTTGGATGGGAAAAGAGTGTAAGTGGAAAATGGTGCTTGAATAGCCTGCTCTGTGAGATAAACATAGTCTATGTACCTGACATGAGTAAAAAACCTTTTTTTTTAAGATCTCTCAGCTTCATGTACAGTTTTTTATTTAGCATACGTTTACACAGTCTCTCATAGTAAGAGTATCACTGGAATGCCAGGAGTGATTGTGAAACTTCTTCATCTTAGAATTGTATATTTATGTTCACTTAATACAGTACTTAATTACAGATATCAGACCATCATGAAAGCCCTTTTTCAGAACTTACAGCTTAACTACTGCCTATTTTATCCATGTACCTGTTCTGGAGGTCCTCTAAGTTTGACGCGTGTTGTGTACGCACTGGTGACCTGGGAAGGTCTATGTTGTGCCTCCTGACAGGTATTTTTACATCTTCAGTGATATCAATGTGGACTGGCTTCCTCATGTTCCCTACAATGAAAGTATTTGGAATGTCAGTGCTGGGCGTGGAGAAAGTTTTGAGCTTCCTGAATTTTCAGTAGAGTATAAAAGCTGTTGGTTTAGGTTTCTTAATCAATTCAAAGACATATGGTTTTGCTTTCTTTGTTACTAGCAAAGCAAGGATTCTATTCTAAATGGCCTTAGAGTATAAAGTATTTCGGGTCAGCTGCTGTGTGTAGGCCCTGTTGCCCTCCGCAGTCACCTTCTGATATTCCTAAACACAGGACAAGAAATCCTCTCCAGTGTGGTTTATGAATATGTCACCGAGGATAAGTCAGGACTCAAGTTTTAGAGATGGTTTTTAAGAGCTTAATGATGAGTTTTAAGAAAGACCTTGTGTAGAATTGACAGACTATTCCAAATGCCCCCCAAAAGTTATGAAAAAAAGAAGTGGAATACAAATGGACCCATTCATTGGCAAAAAGAAAAAGAAATGGATATAGGATAAAATTAATGAATGGAATGAGGAAGGTGCATAAGTGTACAAGGCTTTAAGGGTGAAATAGGCAGTAGCCAAGGTTATTTGATTCCTCTTATCTCCTGACTTTTTATTCAATCATATTTTTAGTATTTACTTACAGTTTTTTTACTTTAAAAATAAAACACTTTTTTATTTCAGCATTAAGTTGTAAGTGGAAGAACAAGACCCAGAATAATAGCAGTAATAGGTAAGGATAACTGATTCTGTTAAATGTGAAGTCAGAACACTGTTAAACTAAACTCACCGGTGTTGCCTGTTTTGGTTGATATCTGGTTAACAACATATAGATTGAGGAGATCTAAACTGACTGATGAACTTTTAGGAGATGATACTCCCAGAAGCTTCATCTTTGATTTAAGTTTCTTCTTTTCAAAGAATTCCTGAATTTTTTAAAAGAAAGAATAAGTTTTTAACAGAAGCTTCAACAATGTGTTAGCAGCATATATAATTCTTTTGAAACTGGCATGCAAGACTCACTAAACTATTCCTAATAATGAAAGCACCTGATTAAATCTCTCTGAATTCTCACACCCAGATTAGTGTTATTTAGTTTACTTTTATTGCCTTGAAAAAGACTCCAAGTATAATTTGGTCATATTCAAAATAAATTATTGTTCTCTTGATACCAAAATCTTAGTCCTTAAAGACTCATGGCTCAAACTTTGTGTATGATGATTCAAAATATTTCTTCAAAATAAAATATATACCAAAATGCTGCATGGAAAAAGTCTTAAAAAAATTAAACTTGGCTTCTTAGGCTGTTTATAAGCTAGTACGCAAATAAATCAGCAAGATTACATATACATGGCCATCTATAAAGTCACAAGCAGGTTATTATTCGTCAAATTTGTCTTTCTTGACATGGAAAATAGTCTTGTGGTCAAAAAAAGGAAAGGGGAAAAAAAAGCAAAGCAGAAAAATGTCTAAGACTGGGACTTCAGAAAGGCTTTTTCTTTCAAGGAACAAAAAGAGATAAGACTGAGACTTTGAATATATCAGGCAGATAGTTCTGACAAATTTAGGAAAGAAAAATGTCCATTTTGTAGGAGACTATTAATAATCAGCTTAAAATCATTAGCATCAAGCACACCAGATTAATAAATCAAGAGAAAGATTTCTTTATTTTAACCACAAGAAGGGTATTAAAAACTGAAGGTTACGTCAAAACACAAAATAGCATTGGCTTTTCTTCTGAAAAGTGATTCCGCCTGTGATTGAAGGTTACAGGTAACTAATATACGAAACATGTCCATCAGTAACTCTTTTCCAGTATAATTTCTTGTATCTCGATCTTTGGCTTTCTTCAGGTAAATTCAGCCTGCGTATGAATCATAACTTCAAAATTCATATTGCTTTGGGTGCCACACCCCAAATATGTATCCATGGCCTTTCAATGTCCTGTGTATTTTCTTCCCATCACCTCTAAATTACTGTATTTTCTTTAATTGTGTAATAGCAATTACAAAATTACCTCTAAGATTAGTAATTATTTAGTATTAAATTATTAAATACAGCCCTGGTTTGGATCCTTTTCCATTTTCTCTCCTCCAACTGAAGCTAATTACATAGTTGTAACTATGTAATTATGTGGCTTAGACCAATAAAACCTTGAGAAAACAGGTATTTTAACTCACAGGCCTCCAGGAGACTGGGAAGGTGATGGGGGCAACAAGCTGCTGGTTGCTTCCACATTCCCTTAGGTAAAGGTTTTCATTTCAGAAATTGTCTCCATACTCTCAGCCTGTTTTTCCTATACTCCTGTATATGCCAGTGCATCTGCTCTGGGCATTGGGGGCCAGTGCATCTGCTCTGGGTATGGGTGGCCAGTGCATCTGCTCTGGTCATGGGGGGCGTACCACCTTGTGTGGTGGAACTTCCGTATACTGTCTGTTTTTTCCCAGCTACTGAGAAGAAAACTGACTTCTCCATGGTTATAACTGTCTTCTCTTCCTGTTTTCTTTCTCTTTCCTGTTTGAAATGTCTTCTGCTATGCCAGGGATAAATTTGAGTCTATTATTTCACTTTTCAGATTCAAAATACAAATAAGAAATGCCAGAATGAAGTTTTTCAATGAGCCTAGCATTCTTTTATGTGGCCCAGAAAAAGAGCTGTGTATCTGCGTGTTAGGCTAGCTGACCACGTGGTCGTCACTGTGAGGCTTCAAGCAATCCTGTGTGTCAGCACATACCAACAAAATATAGTAACAGAAGTAATTCAGTAAACCTTAAATTGAGCACATTCATTCATTCATTCATGCCTTCTCCTACTCTCCTTTCTGCTGGAATTCACTGTGGTAAACCCAGAAACAGATTTCTGCCCTAAAAGTTACAGTCAGGCAAACACATTACAAGTCTTACGCTAGAGTTTTGAGTCTCACGCCAAATTCTTTGAAAGCTTTTCCTAAGTGACTCAAATAAAGCATTTATGTAACAATATAAAATCCATGATGACTAGAACTGTTTACCTTTTGCTTTCTCCTTTCTTGCTTTAATATGATTCTGCTCCTGAAAGATGCAAATAATTATTGTTTTAAAGTATAATCTTGAGTCATGGCTTGAATTTCTCATCAATGGTATCGAGAATTTAGGACACAAATATTATGTTGTGTTGTGTTATGTTATGTTATGTTATGTTATAATAGATCAAACCTGTAGGTAGTGAAGTCAACCTATCTCTGTTGAAGTCACTTTGATCCGGGTTTACTCAGGTAAGGATAGGAGCACATTCTATCTTAGGGCTACCAAATACATTGAACATTCAGAAGGAAAAGCTTTTAGACATTTGAAATGTAATGCAACATTCCATCAATTCCTAATTTCTTAAAACATTATAATAAATCTTTGTCAACATACTAATTTCTTCTAATTTTCTCTGCCATACTGTGACATAGTTACAGAACCATATTAGCAAAGAAAACAAAGGTGTATAGTACAAGTGTCTACCTTTTGGGACTTTACAGAATATTGTGAACATTTTGTAAAAAGATAAGAAAAATAGATGGTCACTACAAGTTTTATCCAGCTTCTGTTGATTGTGCAATATAGGGGACAGTTATACCTTAAACTACATATCTCACTTGTTAAACATGGTCTTAAATTAGTTGCCTGCAGGACATGGTGCATAAAATTGGAGCTCTGGGTCACTGCTGTGAGCAGGATGAGCATGGCTGCAATCCTTGGGTCAATAAGATTAGGACTTTTTTTGGGAGTTATAAATAAGGAGTATCCCCTTGGAATTACTTTTCTTTCTTCTTTTATTTTCCTTTTTTTTTTAATGTGTTTCAACTTAGAACACACTTTCTAAACATATGCACATAACATTTACCCTTGCAGTGGGGTCCAGCAACAGATAGTTTTTCTGATGCTTAAAGTGCAAATTCCAGACTCACCTGAGGAATCCTGGCAGATAATTAACAGCAGCAGAAAGCAAAGGATGATTTGCTATTTGCTAAGTGAGTGCAATATTCCCACATGCTGCTTTTTCTTACAGACAGAATAGTATGACAGACAGCCATTTAGGACAAAGTTGGGGTGGTTGTGTGGGTTTTTTCAAACTGAAGCTCTCCCTTCCCCCTGCTTCACATAGGCAATTTTCACTATCCTCTTTTTGCTGGGAAGACTTCCAGAGAGGTAAGGCATTATTTTAGTTTAATTCTACAGAGTCAGGATGATATAAAGCTGTGTTTAGCAAAGCTACTTTCAAATGGCTGACAAAATCTGCAGGATTTAAATTTCTAGTGAATAGGCAGATGGCACAGCACCTAAAAAAATTATTATCCTTTTTTTTTAAAGTTACAACTTGGTGATTATTTTACTATTTCAGTGACTCTTGGTAAGTATACATGTTTTTCACCAAATGGTGATCACGCCGTTCACGAGGGCGTGAGGAAAGGCCCGGACGGGAAGGCCTTGCTCAGCCCCAGTCTGTGGAGATGTGGTAGGCCCTAAAGTGCCTCAGGCCTGTGTGGGAGGGGGGATGTCTGCCTCTCCTCACACAATCTGCTTCAGGAGAGGACACCAGGGCTGTCACACGCACCACAGCTGTGCCCCGTCTGTGAGGGGACGCTAGCTCCACATGGAGCCATTTCTAGCAACCTTGGAAGAGTTTCACTCACCGGCTGCCGCCGACCCAGTTCATTTTCTGCAGCTAAGGAAGAAGGGAGGGCTGCTGTGCGTGGTGCTAGGGATGGAGAGGGAAGGCAATGGCCACCACAGGGATGGTTTGCTGCCTCCTGGCAGGGCCATAAGGCCCTCCTGCAGACCCTCCTCCCTGGGAGTGTGGGGGCAGCTCTCTGCAGGCCCCCAGGCTGCCCAATGCTGGCAGAGAAGAGAGAGTGGGTGCTATGGGGGCAGACAGCAAAAGGAGACGGATGCAGAAAACCAAGCGGGGCAGGCAGATGTGGAGGAGGCAACGCTCTGGTGGCTACTTCCCTTCCTCTACCATTGGCATTTCCATACAGGCTGCTGCCAGAAGCTATTGACCTTTTGCAAGGAAATCACAAGCCTCTTGCTGTCCCCAGTGAATCAAATTCACAGTTATTGGAGTGGGTTACACAGCTGTTGATGTTCTGCCTTTCAGGCCCAGCTTGTCACTGCTAAAATCACAGTAATTTTTAGGGCAAGAGAGAAGCACCTCCCTTCCCATCCTGCTCTTCCTCGCGTATTTTAGGGGCAATGGGGGAAATACATGAGTATTTTCTACTAGTAGGTCTCGTTGCCCTTGGAGATGCCTGATGAGTTTTTGCACACGCATAGCGACAAACCCTCAGAAGGGACACAGGGCTGTGGGTGTTCCCGCTGGCACCGGGGCATCTCCTCAGCAATGGAGCTCCCTTTGCTCCCTTCGCTGTGACTCACTGACATTATTACAGCAAGTGAAAGCATACATTTACAAAACAACCATTAAAATTCTATATAAACATAACATTTTTCAGAATACCAATGCTTGATTGCCATTAGTACAACCATATGGAGAGTGCCAAGAGCAGACATTAGGAGCCTAATATTTAAAAAATCACCCATGTTTTTTTCTTTCTAATACTTTTAACTTTGCTAGGTGTTTACAGAACCCACAGCTAAAAGATTATAAAAGTGAAAAGATCTGCTTCTCTAAAATATCACCAATTAAACTGAATAAACTTACTAGACAGGATATTTTATTGTTGTGACATTCCCTGTATTTGTTAGTATACATAATTGCTTCTTGTAACAAAATCTTCATAGTAAAATATATCTATATTTTAAGTGTGTCCCACTACAGCTGATGTGACAGATAACAGCCTTAAAGATTAACTTATTTCATCACTTGAAATAATCCTTTTTATTTTGTTTGCATTTTCATCTAGTGTAAATCTTTAACTTATTAATACTATGTCTAAAAGATAGTTTCAAGAACGACATAATCCAGTCCCTTTTACTTTTGTTTTTCTAACATAGTATTGGCACTTTTTTTCTGTTAGGTTTATTGAATCTAGTAGATAGCAGTACCTTGTAGAATCCAGATAAAGTGACGTGGCAGCTTCAAGCATCAATTTTTCAATGTAAGAAAACTTCCTCTCCTCAAATTATTTTCTGCAGATAAAGCTAAAATACCTTTCAAACGGTCATAAGATAAAGAATCAGTTCTTTCTTCACCGAAGGCAAAGTAAACATTGAAATAAGACCTGAGATGCATATGACCAGATTTCCATTGTCTAAATATTGCACCTTGACTGGCAACACTTTGAAATAATTGATTTGAATTTCTGAATGTTGCCATACTTTCAAAGAATTGCAGGACGTTATTATTAATATTTAAAAGGTCATGAGAATGAGTTCCATGGAGCTTAATTGCTTCTCTGAGAAGTGAAGTAAATACAGAACAAGATGACTTCCTCTGTGCACCAGAAACTGAAGTTTAAAGAAAAAAATCCTTGAAGATTTCTCTTTATGGTAACTGTGTACAGCCATTCTTCAGAATAACTATGTCTCCCGTTCCTTTGTTAAGAAAGTATTATACAGAATCTTCTTCAGAAAAACTTTCCAATTGTTGCTAAAAAAACTGTTGCAGCTATAGTCCTTCAGCACTGGAGTTTTCCCCTCCAACACGCTGCTTCATCAGCTCTAGATATAAGCGATGTAGCAAAGCAGTGTACTATCCATCTGATGTAAGACCACATTTGTCCATGAAGGCTAGTGTTGAAACATTGACTGTGCGACTTTTGGCACCCAGCTTTGAGTAAGCCCTCATACTACTCCTACATGATAAAATAAGAGAGAGCGGGTTCTTCTGCGGCGTGACTCAGAGCACCTAATTTAGGCTCCTGCTCTATGTCCCAAGGCCCAGAGAGGAAGCAGCTAAGTTAGATAACTGAAACGGCATGAGGTGAAAGTGCATGCCGCTGCCTGCAGCATTATTGTACCCCAAAGACCTGAATACCCTT